AAATGCCCTCTTAGAGCATATCCCTGTACTGTTGATTTTTCATGTATAAACAGGCCTATCTGAGATGTAGCTGTGGGTTCCTCTCCAATGCCTGCACACTACCCTTTCTTTCAGAGTATATACTTTTTTCCTGCTCTTAACAAATTTGGTCTGAGCCTCACTTTGATCCATCCTCTGGTTCTTTTTTTGTTACAAGATTAAGGACCCTAACGGCCCAAACTGAGGTCTATTTTCCTTTGTGGAGTCCTTCTCAGGACCCTTATCCTGTAGACAATCACACTAACTTCTTTTAAAATTACTTTTAAAAAAAAATCATTTGTTCTAAATTTTATGTCCGTGTGATGGTTTACGTATGAGATGTTCCCTAGAAGTTTCTGTGTTAATGCAGGAATGTGCAGAGGTAAAACCATTACATTATGAGATCGGTAACCTAACCAGTAGGTTGTGAAACTATTCGATTATGAAAACTGTACCCTAATTGATGGATTAATTCATTTAATGGATGAATAATCTGAATGGATTATCTGGGTGGTAACTGCAGGTAGTGAGGCATGGCGGGAAGGAGATCAGTGGGGGCACGCCTTGGGGATTACATCTTGCCCCCTGGCTCCTCTTTCTCTGCTTCCTGGCTGCCACGAGCAGCACAGCTTTTGCCTGCCTTGCCCTTCTGTCATGTCCACCTCACCTGGAACCCAGAGCAATGGAGTCAGCTGTCCATGGACTGAACCTCTGAAACTGTGAGCTAAAATAAACTTTTTCTCCTCTTCATTGCTCTTGTCAGGTATTTATGTCACTGTGATGAAAAGCTGACTAATATGGTTGGAGACAGTGAAGGGAAAGAATCATATAAAGTCATCCAAAAAGGCCTCAGGCAAGCAATTGTTCATTTTAATTCAAAATTCTACTTACTGTTTTCAGGGATTACACTCGAAAAATGACTCTCCTTATTAATTCTATTTACATTAAAGTATATGAGCTTATATTCAAACCCCACAAATCTAAAGTACAATCTTAACACTGTGATCGCACCCAGGTGTTTTCATTACTTTTTCCGGAAACACTGGAGGGAGGAAGGTAATTTCTCAGTCACCCTGAGCAGCACCTTGCTGCCCAGATGCAAACTAGGGCAAAGAAGCCTGCCTCCAGGGTGGCCTTACATGACAGTCCCTGTGGCTTCTTTAAGCTTTTCTACTTGCAAATCAAACATAAATTCATTCTTTGTGGCTCATTAGCAAAACATCAAACAGTGGGTGTTTCCATTTGGCTTTTTATGGATCTTACAAAGTCAGTCTGAACTGTTCACAAAGCAATGCCATTTTCTAAAGACTTCTGGTGTCAGATTGCTATAAAGAATAAGACAGCCCGAGATCAATATGATACCCTGTCCCTTAGTGGATTCCCAAAAGCCTCCTTTATTGGGGTAACACCATAGGGTAAGGAGTCCTGCAGAAACTTCTGTGCCACCTCAGCGCTCCTGAGTATCTGTGACAGGTACTCTCATTCCTGATGGCACAAATACAACCACACCACATAGGGCCACCAGGGTGCAAACCCCGCATCTACCATGTTACTTGCTTGTCATTTTGGATGAAGTATGGAGCCTCCCTGAGTCTGTTTTCTTTCCTGACCCTGGCAACAAGGGGGGAAAATCAATCACATAACAAATATTGATGAAATACTTTGTAGTCTAGGCAGTCAGTGTTTAAGAAAACACAGTGCCCTCCCTCCAAAGAGCTTTCAACTAAGAAGTCAGACAGCATACTAGAGAGGGGTATGTGTGGGTCAGGAAATGGGTATGTTAGGGAGGGGGCCAGGAATACCTCAGAGAGAAGGTGATTTGTGAGTCAAGACCAGAAGGAGCTGAGGAATTCAGTCTTGCAGACATCTGGGGCAATCGCCTTCCATGGTGAAGGAACAGCAAATGCAAAGTCCCTGAAGCAGGAACAGTCCTGGTATGTGAGAGGAACAGCATGACTAGGGCAGAAAGGAGAGAAGTAAACGGAGATGAGATCAGAGAAGCCATAAAGAACACAAGATCATCTAGGCAAGAAGTTGACAAACTATGGCTCATGTGTCACATGTGTTATGCCATCTGTTTTTGTAAACAGTTTTTTTTTTTTAGGTGTGGTGCAGATATTCTATAATGTTAATACAAACCCAAATCTTTTTATCTTTATAAGCCACCAACCTCAGGACATGGACGACGTGTTGTTTCATGATCTCAAAATGGTTGCCAATGTTCCAAACATTACACATTGTATTTATATTTGAGACAGAAAAGCAGGGCAGGTGACATCTGTTCTTCTACCAGGAAAGCAAAAGATGTCTTCATCTACTGCCCCTGGCCAGCACGGGCAGCTAAACTAAAGGTCACTTGAGTGAATTTCCTAAGGTATCAGATAAAACACAGACACACAGTTTACCTTTAATTCAAGCCTTGGGTCAGCTCCTCTGCCCTCAGCCTCAAGCTCCCCAAACGGAGAGTGAGAAAGAGAGAGAGCTAGCACGTTCGGGAGTGGTCTTCTACTGGGGGGACTCTGATTCTTAAAAATTTCCATCCAAAAAAGGTCAAGAGGGGCAGGGTTACAAGGACAGGTAAGGTAACTCAATCCCTGGGGATGTAGGAAGACATGCCCACACACATGAAGACACATTTGGCAACATTTTTAGGACTCTCAAGATCGGGGCCACCATCTACAGCCACTTTGATGCGGCCAGACCACTGGAAGTGACCAACAGAGCCTCAACTAATCAGGAGAGGAAAATGCTGGTCACATGACTTGGGGCCCTCCCACATTCATCCTCCATCAAATCCTCTCTCTCCCACATAATTTCCCCCTCTCTCTTAGCCCAGAAGTAGATGTTATGGCACTGCTAGCTTCAAAGGAAGCTGACTGAGATGGATTTTTTCATTCTTTTGACTGTGATACACAGTGAGAAACACATTTTATGTCACAGCCTAATACACACAATTGAAACACAAATGACACAAGCCAAGTTTTATGAAACACAACTTACAATGCGTGCTGTATACTGATGTTTTCTCATCTATTCTTTTAAGTATGAGTCTCAACACCCACTTGATTAATCTCATGACCCATTATCAGGTTATATGTATAGTATAAAAAATGCAAGCAATCTTGATCCATTGCTAGGGCCTGGCATGTTGCTGCTCCAAACAAAGTGATTTCTCTCCTTTCTTTCTCTTTTTTTTCCTTCCCTTTTATTTTCCTTCCTTCCTTCCTTTTTTTTTTCATTTTTTTCTTTTCCAAAGGAGAAGGGAATGATTAAGAGTACTCACAGTATCTGTAGCATTCATCATAAGTGAGGGGAGTGGCAGAGAAGGTTCTATGGAATACTGAAAAGCAAGGTGACCCCTCCTTCTGAAAGAATAGAGGATCCTGCTATGGATCATGTGAAATGCAAGTAGAAACACCCACTGCCTGGCAGACTCACAGAATTGCAAGATCCCTGATACGAAGCACTAACACAGTGTCTGACATACAATGGGTGCACAGGACACATGGGTTTGCTTCCCAAGCTAAATCACCACTCCAGGCTAGAAGAGCATTAACTGTGACAATGAATCATGCTCAAGTGCTGGGAAACCTTAGGGAAACCAAATATCTCCTGGATGTTCTCTTTACTTTTCCTATTGGAAATTAATTAATTTTGGGGATCTAATGCTGAGAAGTTGAGAGGTTGAATTTTATGTGTTGGTTTTAAAAACCTTTAAGAAGCATCCAATTATTGTTCTCAGCTTTAATGTGTCTGACTTCTGGGTTGTAGAAGGACAAATGTCAGCAACCACAGGGAACCCTGGACCCGGTAGAGGATGGGTCATTCTTCAAGAATACAAGCAAAGTAGAGATGGGGGAACTCCTCAATTGATCATCTTTAGTGCCTTCACATTTTTTAAGTAAGAAAACAGGCCCAGAAGCGTTGCAACATGGGCAGGATCACGGAGGGAGGCAGTAGATGGCATAATCTCTTTGCTCCCAATCCAGCAGTCCTAACAACCATTAACACAGCCCCACTGAACTGAGGTCCTGGGACCCATTGACTCAAATCCCAAGTTGAATGTGACACATATACACCTGCATTTTTTAGAAGATCTCTATCAGATTTTAAAATGGTCCTGTGAACCTGGAAAAATTAGGAAACACAGACTGAGCAAAACTAAAATGACTTATGTTGAGGCTGAGGCCAAAAAGTTCGGAGGTCAGGACTTGGAATGATGAGATAAAACAGAAACTGCTAACCATAAGATACGCTCCCAATCCTGCCAACCCTCACCACAGAAACAGTGAATTCTTTCACTTTCCCTGAATGGCCTGTGGTTTTTCTGTCCTTTCTGCTTCAATGCCTGTAAAGATTAACTTTTTCCTTTCTTTTCCTTTCCTTTCCTTTCTTTTTTTCATAGAATGAGAGTTATTACATGATACAAAAGTTATTGAACAGGCCATGCCAAGCAAATCGCCAGACTGCATACAGGTGCCCCTTGCACAATAAATAACAAAGGCTCGAGTGTTTATTGATAAGTCCCCCCTCCACTCCCCGCCCCACACCATCCCAAGAAGCAAAAGTAATAGCGGCGCCTGCGCAGCGGCCTTTGTTGTAAACCAAAGGGTCCACATCATCCAAGGGTCCACATTATGCAAGGGTCCCCTAGACGCTGTCAGCAGACCCGGTTCTTTGGGGCCAGGTCGAGCTGCTTTTCTTCGCGCATCCTGGAACGCCCTCGGGGACCACAGATTCGGGTCTCGCGGCGCGCCAACCGGTAGTCCGAGGACACCCGGCAATCAGTACGCAGACGTCCCAAACCTTCCCCATCCACCCTCCGGCACCGCCAGGCGCCAGGTCTCCGCGGGTGCCCAGGGCGGAGCGGGGCGGTGCACAAGAACGGTCCCATCCGCCAGTGAGAGGTAAGGGGCTAGTCCAGGACGGGAGGGGAGGGAAGGATGGGGAGGTGCCATTGGCTGGATAGGGGTAAGGGCGGGGCGAGGGGCGGGCCGGGTCCCAGTGCAGCAGAGCCGGTGGACCGCAGGCGCTGCGGGCTCAGCTCCCATGCGGGCGCAGCTCTGGTTGGAGGCTGGGACACGGCTCTGGCAGTGGCTTCTGGATGGAGCGATGACTGGACGGTGAGTGATGCCCGGGCAGGAGTGTTAGTGGGCGTCCATGGAGCACCACACCCCCGAGCCCCGGGCTGTCACCCGGCAGATGCGCTGGAGCCTGGGCACTTGTGCCCTTTGACCGTTGCGCGCGGAGTCTCCTCCCACTGCCAGCCTGGCGCATTGCGGGCTTCGGGCCCAAAGCTTTCAATGGGCACTGTGCCTGGCACCTCCTTCAAGAGGAAGTCACTTTAGGAGCTAAGATATTAGCATGATAGGTGAGTGCGGTCTCAGGCTTCACCTGTGCCCACCTCAACCCTCACCTCAGTCAGTCTCCTAGAAGAATAGATCCTAGAGTTGGGAAGAGAGCTTCAGAGCACTTTTGCACAACTCTCTGATTTCACAGATGGAAAACCGAGACCAAAATATAGGCAGAAAGAGGGGCTTGTCTCACAATCGCTATTTGTGGAGGGTTCGCCTTCTACTAGACTCTGTGTTAAGGGTTTCAACACAATATACCGCACACTCTGCGGCACTGTGATATTGACACTTTCATTATCCCCATTTTCAGATGAAAAACTGAGGCTTAAAGAATTACAGAAGTGTCTACCCTTACTCAGAAGAGCCAGTGGTAGAGCAGGAATTTAAACTCAGGGCTGGCTGTGCCTTCAGGCCTCCTTCACCCCACCCCCTGGCTTTGAAGCTTATACAACCTGCTTCCCTGCTCTTCCTGTGTCTGAACCTACATTGTTGAAGGATGCCTTAATGTTATCATGAGTCTGGCATAACCCTGACAAGGGAGGCCTCCTCTCATACCAGGCCAGTGCCAGGCCAGCCAGCACTTTATTAAAACTCAGTAAGCAGAGATTTAGAAACCCTATTTCACATGGGAATTAAATGAGGTCATGCAGCAAATGAGGCCTGGGATTCTGGAATTCAAACCCAAACAGGTTAGACTCCAAAGTTTGCCACCACAGTGGCAGAAGGGACCCTCACTGTCTTCACTATACTTAGCTGTGTCAATCAAAATCTGTTGTCAGAAATGATGAAAACAAAAAAATAAAAACTGAAAGTGAATACTGTAACCAACAGGTAAATGCAAGTCTGCAGACCTCCTGATCCTCTGTGTAGTTCCTGGGCTACTGTCACTGGGACTGGAGGTTCTAGGGAAAAGAAAGGAGTATGCAGAGGAGAGAGGGAGAGAAGAGAAGATGAAATGCATTGCAAATAGGTGAAAAAGTTGCTGGCTGTAAGTTGTAATGGGGTGCATTTCACCACTTTGTCAGTGTATGATCAGTTTGTCTTTATTAGTTCTAGTCATAATTCTGTGTGTAGTGTGGTGTTTCCAGACTTGTCATTGAAAGTAAGGTTGATGCACAGATTAAAGTGTCCATCTGAACCCCAGGAGCCTCTAGTGGTGGGGGGACCTGGAGGTAGAGAACAGAATTAAGGTTCAGTATCACCTTGGGTCAGGGCCACCTGGATCATGGCAGATAAAAAGCATGAACAGAACTTGGGTGTGTGTCATTTTATTAATGCAAAGCCTCAGATGGCCTCTGTGAGGCCATCTGAGGCTTTGCAGCCCTGGGGATCTGATTCTGGTTTCATGAGTACACTCAGTCTTTTTCCTCACTCATAGTCACTTCTGCAAGAAGATAACTCTCATCCTCTTTGAATTTTACATTCCCATTTCCAGAGCCTTATTGTTTCTCTGGAGCCCCTAGAACTCCTGACTCCCAATGTCAACAGTGATGTTAATGGGAGCTTCTGTTTATTATAGATGAGTCCATACTATGCCCATCTGAAAGGTCTCATTTGCCTTCATAAAATTCATCTAGAATTATAATTATTTGATAAATGAGAAACCAGAGAGGTTCAGAGGGGGAAGGGAACTTGCCAGGGGTCATACAGCCAGAGAAACACAGAACAGAGCTTTGAGCTCAGCGCATTACAAAGGTTGAGAGGTTATCTTCTCACAGAGTACACTGAAGAAAATATTTTGAAATTGTTTTAAAGTAAATTAACATCAAGTAGGAAGTGGGTGCACTTCCCAAAATGTCTGTAGTTTTCTCATTTCTGCTAAAGGGGAACTTCGAGTTTCCTAGGTCTCCTTTTCTGTGTCCAGCCTCCTTCCCCAGCATATACAACTGATGGAAATCTCTTAAACTCCCTCTCCTTGACTTGCCTGGCCTTGGAGAACACAGATGGGATGTCACAGAGCCCAGGAATACACTGCTTGGAAGAGTCCTGAAGACATTCTAGTCCAGCTACCACTAAACTCTGGCAAGATCCAGGCCCCAGAGATGCACTGCCTACTGAGGTCATATACCAAGGTTGATGCCACTGCAAAACATACCCATCTCTCTGATGCTCCTCTGCCTCCTCTTTTTCTTGCTGTGACACATTTCAGTACAGATTCTCAGCCTGGGATCTAGGGACTCTAGGGATACATGAAAGCAGTCTCCCTGGCCCTTCTTCAATAGTGTGCAAGTTTAGTGTATATGTGTGCACACGTACACTCATGCAGTTTTCTGAGGAGAGTGTGGTAAGTTTTCAAGAGACTCATAAGGACTCCATGAGCCAAAAAATTCTGAGATCCACTGTGCCTCCCAGGGAACCATTCCCAGCAGCTTCCTGTGGTACACAGCCTGGGGCAGAGGTAGCACGGGTAGGACAGCTATGGAGATTGCCCAGGGCAGCCAGGCTGCAAGCACTTGTTGGCAAGAGCTTAGAGGGTCTGCCCTTCTGCTATGCACCCCTGGCCCCAGACAGTTGGGATGTTGTCTAGCTACCATACTAAGTACCTTAATACTAAGCTATTTCTGGGAGGATCTTTCTTTCCACAGATCCCCTGTTCTATAGACAGGAGGTAAACCTTATTTGTGGTGGCGGACACAGAGCCAGGGAATTTGGGTATAAAGTATTAAGAAGGGACAGTAAGATTGGAAATGGCTTTCTTATTCCAGATTGCTGTGACTTGCAAACAAGGGCAGAAAACAGAACCGAGCCCTGGGAGTCTGGGGGAGGGCCATCAGGAAGCATTAGGAGGATGGCCAGTCTGCTGTATGCATGGGGGACAAAAATCAGGCTCTTCAGAGAAAGGGGAGGTCCAGGAATCTGAATGGGCTCAGGGAAACCCTTCAGGGGAAGCCTAGGACTGTGGAGGGTTAGGGATCCAATAGAGAAGAGCTGGTTTGGTCAGCCCAGAGTGGAGGGAGCAATGGCTGCGTCTGCCTCTCCTGCACTTCCCAGGCTTCTGTCACTTCCATCGGACTGTGTGCTGCATCCTCTAGCGCTTCCCAGCTGGCGCAACTGGAGCTGGGTCAGGAGGCTGAACCAGAGGTGGGTGATGGTAGGGGTGGAGAGAAAGGGAGGGGGGACATTGAAACTGAACAGCAGGAGAGAACAGCAGCTGCACAGTCACTGCCCGCTGTCCACACTTGAACAGCTGACTTTTTTTAGCAAAATCTGTTGCTAAGGGGCAGCCTGCTGTCCAGCCAGACCCCCTTAGAGGCAGCTGGCTTCTTCCCGTGGCCAACCTCCTGCCATTTGCTGGCTAACAGGTGCAGGGAGGACCCTTTTAAAGATTCATTGTTTTCAGGGCCTCCCTGCTGCCCTGGATGATGTTTGAAAGTTGTGGCCAGGGCTGCAGAGGAGCAGAGGACTCAGGCTTCCCAGGAATGCAGGGTAGAACAGCCTGCACCCAGTTGTGCCCCACCATCTGGCCTCCTTTCCTGTGCTTCCCAGGTCACTTTCTTTATTACCTGTTTGATTTTAATCATGCTCAAGTGAGAAAATAAGAGCCATGATGTCATAAAATGTTAGAACAGAGGTAACCAAGATTTAAACAGGTAATCAAGAGGTAATCCACTTAGATTTCACTGGTGCTAGCTTTGAATCTTTTAATTTGGATGTATTATCCATATTGCCAAGAGAGGATCCCAACACCTATGCAAAGAAGGCAGTACATAATCTTACTGTAAGAGGCTTTCAAGTGCACACAGTTTAGTTTCCTGAAAATCCTACTTCATTTGGCTCCTTTTTCTTCTTTTACAATTGACCTGTAGAAATTGGGCCCCAATGTTTCCCTGAAGAACCATAGGGTCACCTTCTTCTGTAATAACTAGCCCCAAGACTTCAAAAAAAGAAAAGAGGGCCCAGGCTCCGTAGTTGTAAAGGCCTCCCTGGCCTTTGTCCCTCCATAGCAGGCTGTCTCTGCACGGCTGGCAGAGCAGCCGCTGAAGTGGAAAGTGAAAACAACTCACTGCTTGTTCACTGAGGACAGGTAGCCTGGCTGGCACACCCGTGCCCCTGGGGGCCTCTCCTCTGAGGAGCCTGGGAAGCAAGCTTGGAGGCCTGAGTTGTGTGCCCTGGGGCCTGGGGCCAGGGAGCAAGCCAGGACAAAGAAGGCTGCTGGGGGGAGGGGAGGCGCCCTCAGGCAGGCCAACTAGGCCTGTCCAGCTGCATCTGTCACTCTGTGTTTTGCAGACTGTGCCTGGGTGGCAGGCCAGCCTTAGCCTCATCCTTTCTGGGCTCAGGCTTCTGCTCGCACCTAAGCATCCTCTCTTGAATCAACTTGTACTTTCATTGGGCTTCTGCCTTTTCAAGATTGTGCTGTTATAGAGATTGAAAAAACAGTTTTTCAGAGATATTCAGAGGCCTTGCCCAGGGCACAAGGAGATTCAATGCATGGAAGGCAGTCTAAGGAAAATGTTCCAAATGGAGAAACATCCCCCTTCCTCTCCTGCTGGGTGTTACCTTCTTTCCCACAGTTCTCATTCAATGTCATTTCTTGACATTTCTTGACTGTGTCTTAGATACTATTTGAAACTCACCAAGACCCAGAGTGAGAGAATGAATGAAAATCAGCTCCACCCTCGATCTGGTAAAGCAGTAAACACAGTGTTTTCATTTGAGTAGAATTCTGCCAGCCATTCCAGAGAGAGAGAGACTCAGGAGCTCAGGGAGATAGGTAGTGTTGCATGCTTGGGATGGAGGCATCTGAGAGCCAGAGAGACCAAGTGACTAACGTAAAGGCCATGCAACTGATTAAAGTCAGAGGATACAAATACATGTATGGTTCTCTTAAAAGAGAGACTCCTTTTCTGTGGGACTAGAATTCCTGTCCCATAAGGTGCATGGCCCAATCCAGCAAACAGAAAGAGCCCTGTTACTAAAGCGGGCCCCATCACACCTCCCAACCTTGCTCACTATCCTCTCTGCCCTCCCATGGGATGGTGTCCCACCCTCTATCCCTGCCAAGCTTGCCTGTTTATCTTATAAGCCCATCTTTCCCTTTCTCCCTTCACTTTGCTATCTGCAGTCTAGGGCCCTCTTTAACTTTCCTCCTGATTCTTTCTCTGTGCAGTGGATGTCACCCCACCTCAGCTAGAGACTGAGCACACTGGCCACGTCCTTACATAAACAGGCCCTCAGAGGCAAAGTACTCCTAAATGCTAGCCAAGGAGGCCAGTGCTATCCAAAAAGGAAATCTTGGTGCTCTAGTGGATGGGGCTACATGACACACACCTTACTGTCAACCAAAGCAGCTCCTTTTAGTATGACTTGCATAAATTTTTCATTTGAACAAAAATTCTACAATTAAGAATATGTCAAACATATTGGAGGTCAATATTCTTTATGGTACAGATGGGAAAATTAAGTCTCTGAAGAAAAAGCATGCATAAGGTCTTAGCAGCTCCCAGCCCAAAGCTTTTTAGGAAATAACTTCTATTAATAAGAAACCACCATCTGACTTATAGGGAAATTTTATTTTTGGGTGTTTCTACTACATACAGCAAAATGCTGTGGAAAATCAAAGTATTGTAGAGTTTTGTCATGAGTTAGAAGACGAAAAACTAGAGCCCCACTAAATGCATCTGTCTCAAAAGTGTGTTAGGTCTGACTATATTCCTTTTGAAATATATTTAAATATAAAATATTCAGTTAAATGTATATACCATTTTAAATTTACTGCATTAGTAAGGCTAGGGTGGGTTATGGTGCAGTAACAAATCTCTGAAATACCAGAGGCCTATCACAGAGATTTATTTCTCTTTCCCATTGTATATCTGATGTGGATCAGCAGAAGGCTGTGATTCAGAGTCACTCAGGGACAAGGGCTTACTATTGAGTAACTGTGCCAATTAGAACAAGTGGCTTTCTCAGTAATCACGTTAGGAGACAGGTGTTGGTTCTTAAATGCATTGGCCTGGAAGTATCCATAACACTTCTGTTTGTAGCCCATGGGCCAGAGTTCATCACATGACCCCACTGAACTGCAGGGTCTGGGGAGGGTTAGCAATCACATGGTCCTTTCAAGAGCAGTAAATACCTACAATCACTTGACTTTAAACAGTGGAATATAACCCTAACAATCCTGATTTCTGGCTTCCTATCAAACCAGATGATCTATACCTTTGAAGGAGTAATATGTCCCCAATTTCCCACAGATTGTGTGTTTCTCAACTAAGTCCCCAGATGCTGTTTTGTTATCCTGCTATGTATGCCCAACTCTGGAGGAGCTGACTTAATGGGGAGTTTGTGGATCTTCTTGTAGTAATTCAGTCATTCAACAACCATTCAGCCTCTGTTGATGTGCCAGGCTGTGGGGCTGGAAACCAGTAGTAAAGTAGAAAAGCATTGCTACCACCTCACCATGCTCCTGTGCTTCTGTGAGTTTTGGAACAAAAGGTGTGGCCTTCAGGGCCCAGCAGGGTGGGAAGTCAAGAGGAGGTACCTGGGCAAAGAGGTGCTGCACCTATCCTGACAGAGGGCTGTTTGGGCAAGGGTTTCTTAGAGAGCTAGCATCAGAATATTGGAGGAGCAGCAGGCTATGTTCTGATTAGAAACTGTAAATGTACTAAAGGAGGAAAAAGCTTGGCACCCACTGTGAGCTGCAATCAACCCAGCAAACCTGAGGCTCAGAATAGGAAGTGGGATTGAGGCTGGATATAGAGGAAGACAAGAGAAAAACCCACCTGCAGTTGTTTCTTTGTAAATCCAGCCCTTCCTACAATAAGCTTTCTTAAAAATGTGGCTGTACCTTGTACACACAGAAAGTGTCAACCCAGAAGCCCAGACTCAGGGCAGCTCCTGCCCCACAAGTGTTTGAGGAACTACCCAAACATGCAGCTGGCAAATCACTTTTTCCACTGGCAAGCTGAGGAGTTGAGGAACTGAAACCCTATTTTGAAACCTCTGCTGCCTGACCAAGAAGAATGCAGCAGCGTGTCCCCAGCTCCAGGTCTCAGTGGTGCCGTTCCACTGTGTCCTTGAGTAGGTGGGAGGGTCTGCCTTACTTTAGAGCAAGGCAAAGGGAGTGTTAACTGGATGACGCTGAGGTCACTGAAAAGCTCACCTCCCTCAAATCATTTCCCTTCTCCATGCTAATTGTATTTTCTCTGCTTCTGCAATCAAATATTCATTCCCAACACAGAGGATGGGTTCATGATATTTGTGAGAGCAAGGAGGAAGAGAACTTGCTGGACGGTCAATATCAGTGTCAGAGGGGACAGAATATTCTGCAGTGACAGGCCCTGAAATCATTAGTAAATATAACAGAAGTTGGGCCTGACCTTGACTCCCAGTAACATTTGCACACACACAGTTCAGCTTGATAGGCTGTAATGGATTCATCTGAACAAATGTTGGGGGTTTGTGAATAAGCTGATCTCTGTGGTGGAAGGACATAGAATGCACCCTGGCTGTGTTACCTTCCAGTGTCACTCTACCCCTTTAACCCCTAAATGCAACTGGGAAAGTATGAAGAGAGAAAAACTTTAGCTCATTGCCCAGCATGTAGGAAGCCTTGATAAGAGAGGATCCTCAGCCAGAATGTAATCCTCATCTGTAGTTTTGTTTTCTGTGATTTTTGTTACCCAGGGTCAATCTTAGTTGAAAATACTGTGGAAAAAAAATGCAAAAAGGAAGCAACACTATTCTGAGTAGCATGATTAAATCTCATCATCCCACTTCTTCCCACACAGACATGAGCCATCCCTTTGTCCAGTCTATCCACACTGTGTACACTACCTGACCATTAGTCACTTAGTAGTTGTCTCTGTTTTCAGATCAGCTGTCATGGAATCACAGTGATTGTGTTCAAGTGACCTTTATTTTATTTTATTGCATGGTACCCAAATGCAAGAGTAGTGATAATGGCAATTCAGATATGCTAAAGAGAATCCTTATAGTACTTTCTTTAAATGAAAAAAGTTCTTGACTTGATAAGGAATAAAAATAATACTATACAATGTTGCAAGGATCTATAGTAAGAATGTATCTTCTCTTCATGAAATTGTGGAGAAGGGAGAAGAAATTCATCTGGCTTTTTTTTTTCCTTTTTTCTTTATTACACCTAAAACTATATAAGTTAGGCCACAGCCTTGACTAAGTGCTTAGTCAAGCTGGAAAAGGGATTAGATTACAGTATTCAATACTATCACAGGTTTCAGGAATCCCCTGGGGATTTTGGAATGTATCCTGTATATGTAAAAGGGGTGTGTGTTATTATAAGGGGAGACAGAGAAGTAGGAATCTGGGCAACATACCAGCAAGATAGAGAAGACTCTCCTGATTTACCCTCCGTGAGAGAAAACCAGGCGGGGCTTGAGAAGCCCTTTAAACCTTTTACAGTATGGAAAGGCACACAGATAGCTTCACATGATAATCCACTACTCATCCTGAAGGCTAGATATGAGCCTGCTGCACAAAGGAGAAAAGGAAGCTGATGGTGGGGGAATGCTAAATCCCTGCCCAAAAGCAATATAGAGAAGAGGTTGAGACAAGAATCAGAGGTTCAAATGCTTGTGTTCAGTAGTGACTTCTTGTTTGCCAGGTGATCTTAGGCAGCATGCTTCACCTCTGTCCCTGCTTTCTTATCTATAAAATGGGAATATGTGATCCCTACTTCATAATGTTGTTGTAGGACTAGGTGATTCATAGAAAATGCACAACAGTGTCCAGCATGCTGTGAGCACTGTACTGAGTAACCCTGGACTTGGAACAGGCCCAGGGGAACTGACTCCCAAGGCAGTGCTAGGGCCACTCTCCCAGCTTAGTGGGAAGGGAAGAGAGATCCAGGGTGGCTTTGAGGACTTGGGGAGCAGCCAAGACTGAAGCCATCATTCAGGGTGTTGCCACAAGGAAAGAGAGCCACATGGCCTGAAATGGTGAGAAAACTGTTCCAAATTCCTAAAGATCATGGAGTTTTTCAGAGTGGGGGACCCCATCCTCTGGGCCTGATTCTTTCAACTATAGTCACCCTACACTTGAACAGCTATGAAGCCAAGGTTACAGGCCTCAGTGCTGGGGCCCCAGGTGCTAAAATATACCAGGTAGAACTCTTCCTGGCTCACCTGTCTGTGAACCCTCCCTCATCTTTCCTCCAGGTAACTTCCAGGTCTGCAGACAAGAGAAGATGAAGGAAGAGTGTCCATCCAGCTCTCACGTGCCCATCAGTGACAGCAAGTCTATCCTTAAGTAAGCTTTGGTGTGTGGTAAAAGAGATTTTGCATCTCCTTTTGGCACCTCCCTGCATGGCAGCCATGTGGAGGGATGGGGGACTTTTTCAGAGATAGAATATGTGCCCTAGGGACAATGGTGGGTGCTGTGTTTTGAGGCCTGTTTCTTTGGAGATCAGTGTACCCTTCAGAGTGTGGGTTTGAGCCCAACCTCCTAGAACTCACAAAACCAGGAAGGCAGAATGGTACCCACTGGGGTTCCACAGGGAATATATTTAATTTAATTTATTTACAAACTAGAATGATACTAACACTCTCGCTAAGTTGAATGGTTAACTGGTTTTGAGTTTTTAGTAAAAAAAAAAATGAGTTTTTAGTTAAAAAGTATTTTATTGATGTAGTTTTAACTTTGCTTATTTCTATTTACTTTCATAAAAATATTGGGGATATTTTCTCAATCCATTTCTTAACTGAAGAAAAGTATCTTTTTCATTTTATCTTGCATTTTGAGTCCTGAGTCCAAATATTTTCTAATATTTTCACCCTGCCAACTTGAAAGTGAGCCAACATCCTTGAAATGATTAGCTTTTGCTGGGGACCTTCCCCCAGGGGTCCTCCCAGGAGCAATCCAAGAAACACACATCGTTATATCACATCATTGCTTCTCTTTGCATTATTTTTAATTTAAATTTTGTAATAAGAGCAATGTAACAATATAATCTGAAAAGTCATAAAAACTTTAATCATGATTAAGTTCATGTAAATATGTATTTGCTAATAATTTTATGCTCAGCATTTATCTCCTACACAATGGAGATGTGACACTGAGTCCTGCCTTCTTAATACCATAAGTTCATACATCGATTCCCCTATGAGTTCCCATCATGTCCATGTCACATACAGACCACAGACTCAGGCCCTAGAGCAGGTTCTGCTGTCCTCATTTTGTGTTGCTTGCATGTGGCGGGAGGCACTGCCTGAAAAGGAGCCAGAACCTTGGGCTCCAGCAGGGGAACCTTACACCTCTGGTAAAACTGGCTGGGCAGGTATGGTTCCTAGACCCTCCATAGAGAAAGCACTTTGGCAAAATAAAAAGAATGCTATCGGCTTTCACCAATAAATTTTGAATTGATTCTGCTGGTAGTATAACAATTTAGATGTTCTGGGTTCAATAAATGTGTTATTGCTACTAATTTTACCTGTTTTGTTTTCCCTTTCAATGTGACTACTAGAAGATTTAAAATTGTTTCTGTAGCTGCATCTTGTGTAGATTGTCCTGTGCTGCCTTGCATAGCCTTTTCAGGTGTGGAAGCTATCCTGGTCTTCTCTGTCCAGCACGTCTGTCAGGGCACTGTCACTTTTCCTTTTTAGTGGGAGAAATATGTGGGCAAAGTGGGCCATCAGGATCTGACTCTCAGCCTGTTGTCTTCATCCTTTGATTGTTCCTCTGGAGAGTCAAGATGGGCAAGAGGCAGGCACCCCTCCTGTTCTCTCTGCAGAAGCCACACAGGGCCTTTATAGGAATCAATACCAGGAAAAAGCATGAATCTTTGAAATGCCAATAATCCAAGCCCGGGGGATTCCTCTGAGGAAGTGACTCAGAGGTAGAGCACAGGGAAGTTGTCAGGAACGCTTATCTGTGATACTGAAAGTACACATACCCTAGATGTCCTTGGGAGGTTGGGGCCTACCTGCAAGTTTTGCTTCTTTCTGAGCTTCCTCACCTAGAACATTCCTCTTTCCACAAGGATCCACATGCTGAACCTTCTGGAAAATGAAAGGATTGATGTCATGGTGGCACCATCAGGGCCCTCTACTGATCATATGCAACTGACAAAATGTGTGTAATTATGACCATTTTATGAGGGAAGAAACTGAGGCTAGTGAAGTCAAATGCCTTGTCTGGGCCCCCTCCATGCCCCAAGTGTACGTGTGTGTCTTTACCTTTTAGGTCGGAGCTCTTGAGCCTGCTGAAAACCTACAACTGCTACCATGAGGGCAGAAGCTTCCAGCTGAGGCACCGAGAGGTGAGGCCTGCAGGTCATTTTTGTTCACAGGGTCACATCATTTATTCTGGCTTGCCGAAGACAGCCTTGGCCCACACCTGTTTTTTCCAGGGTAATTATGATGACTATTCTCTTCACTCTGAATGTCCCAGTTTGGATAATAAATTATATGATTACCCTGTCACTTCCTGGTCAGGGACCAGGTTACCAGCCAGCAAAATAAAGTTGCAACATCCCTGTAAGAGTTCAGAGAAGATAGGAATCACTTTAGGTATCTTTTCCCTCCACCTTTGTCCAGGTAAATTGATGGGACAATGGTGTCTGAAGTCTCAGAGACTGCCTAGCCTATCACAGTGCTTATTGGAGGAGACCAGGGAAGAGTCAGTCCCTCTTTTTTCCCTACCAACACAGCCCAGTATCCCTGCCCTTCTAACCTATGTCCTCAGTGCTCTCATTTGTAAAGTGAGGTATTTGGGCCACTCAGGGTTATAAGTTCATATGGTTGCAGGGCCTTACAGGCTACCCATGGGGAGTAGGTCCAAACTGGGGTTAGCAGCTACCCATCAGATCCAGCCCACGGCTGCCGTGCAAGAATTTGGGCCTCATTCAGCCAAACCTCCCCTATTTTTCAAAAGCAACTAGATGTCTGGAACTTCACCAAGAATTTCCCAAATCTTAAAACATCATAAAGGCTTAAGAAAATATGTCCAAGGTCAAATGCAGCCTCAGATACCAGTTGTACTCCAGGGCTTGTCCTGCAGGACCCAGGCTCAGTAGCCATTTGAGGGAAGATGAAGCAGAGCCTGGTCTTCCACCAGAATCTTCAGACATTTTACACAGGAGCATTAGTCACAGCTTTGTACTCCTATCTGGGTCGAATTTAGTGTATTATATAGCTTAATGGTGAGTCTTACCATATTAAGATTTTATTTGGGGAGTTTCCATGTTGAGATCCTGTTGGCCACCCGTACATTCTCCATCTATTGGTGACTGACAAGGGCCTGTGAATTTCAAGTCGCCTTTCTGCTGTCAAACACAGAATGGGAAACTCACAAGAGACTTCATCAGAGTGGAGGGCACTGACTCACTAATTCTCCCTCATATTAATTATTCATCAGTCCACATCCTTCTTAAGCAGCAAATGAGAGTGAGCCAGATACACAGTTAGACACCTGAGGCACTCTACAGACCATGCCAGAGGTCACTCTCTTTAGCATCTAGTTATGTAGGCTGTATGGCTGGGGAGCTTTAGGCTCCTGAATCAGGAAGGCTGGGTGGCTTATGACCACCTGGAATGGCACAAGCCTCACACTCCACATTCCTTTGATGTGCCCTCCTGACTTGGTGCTTTGGCACTGGCCCTAACACTCGTCCTCCTCTCTATGTGCACCTCATCCTCTTTTCTCTTCCAGGAACTATCTCTCCAACACCTCTCTTACCTGATCTGCTCCCAGACTACCCTGTCCACACCCAGCTCCTTACTGCCACTGGCATGGCTCTAAACCCACCACCTTGCTATAGTAGGTTCTGCTATAGTAGGTTCTTTTCTTACCTGAGCAGTGAGCCCCTTGGAGCTGGGTCTAAGCCTCACTTGGTTCTGGCCTTGGTTCCCCAAGCCGCTGGTATCAGTGTGTACCTGTGTGTGCACAGCTGTTGGGTGACCAGCCACAGATACAGGCCTGGAGTGAGTTGGAATAAGAACAGAGTCCTGAGCTCCAGTGTGCTGGGCAGTGGGGAGGGACAGGGGGGAGAAGGGTGTGGCAAATGGGGTCAGAGGGCTCTTGCTCTTTGACCTGTACTGCTAAGTGAGGAGTTGGTTCCCACTTCAGATTGCTGATAGAGGCAGGGGGCGGGGGGGCGGTATGTTAAGATTATCTACCTGCTGGGCTTCCATTTTTCAATGCAGAGCCTTTCAGAAATTGATCCAAGATCCTGGTTGTTCTCCTTGTGAGGTTCCTGTACCAGCAGTTTCAGCATCACCTGGAAACTGGTTAAAAACACATTCTTACCACCCCTCCCCCAGGCCTGCTGGATGAGAAACTCTTGGTCCTCCCAGCTGGAAGGGTTTAACAATCCCATCAGTGCATTCTGATGAAAGTCAAGTTTGAGAGACATCAGTAAGAACTTGGTTTTGGGATTCCCCAAGATAATCCCCTCTGTAGGAACAGCCATGTTGGGGGCAGGACTGTGAAGTACTCCTCTATTGGTCTCACCCTGTGTGTGCGGGACAGTCCAAGTGGAAAATTGGGGGACTCCTCAGCCCCAAGGAGCATTTCTGACAGCCTGCAGTGGTAGGAAGTTAACTCACAGCAGGGGGTTTTCAGGTCCCTAACCCCAAAGAGGATGTGAAGATCTAACCTGATCTCCATAGAGCCAGAAGTACCTTTCAGGAGCTTTCTGCAGGCCTGACAGACATGGGGGTGCCAGTGTGAGTGAGTGTCTTTTTAGGGCAACAACCCCATAAAGATAAGGCTGAGGGCTGGGATTGTGGCTCAGTGGTATAGCACTTGCCTAGCATGTGTGAGGCACTGGGTTTGATTCTCAGCACCACATATAAACAAATAAATAAATAAAAGTCCACCAATAACTACTAAAAATATTTAAGAAAAAAAAAGACATGGCTGAAGGTTTGGGGCTCAGCATTATTATACTGATAAGGATGCCAGGTTCTAGGGCATCATGCCTCTTAGGGTCTCTCTGAGTCTTTGTGATATACCTACCAACCATCTCACAGATTGCAGATCTGATACTTCCTGGGCCTCTGGGATCTCCCAGTCTTAGGCACTTGTTGTAGGGCCATCCCAGGCTGACATTTCCTTGAGCAAAACCTCTAAAACTATAATATAAGAGTTTCGTCCCATGGGAATGACTATTTTTCTTGCAAAGAAATTCCATCTCTCAGAGATTGTCTTTAGTCCAAAGTCACTTTGAAGCAAATAAAAGATGTCAGCAGGGTTCTGAAGTCTGAGCAAAGTTGTTTATAATATAGCAATTCCATTTCTGACCCTAAGGTTCAGAGGTCTTTAGAGGTCACTGCTGAGTATCACTGAACAGATCCTAGGAATACAGTGCTGTTTGTAGCCCTTGATCCCCAAGCTAAGGTGCCTTTGGGCTGCAAAAGGGCTTGCTACCCAGGTGTGCCCTCCTAAAGCCATACAGTGTACTGAGAGACCTCCTGCATATTGTCATTGGGCCTCCCTGGTAGCACTTATAGCCTGGGTGCTACACTTAGGAGGCACTGTCTTCTTCACAGTCACATCCTGTGTCTGTAGAACTTGGAGAGATGAGGTGCTTCTGTGGACAGGGACCATACTCTGGGGCAAATGTTTCCTTGTGACCCTTCTCCAGCTTCCTTAGGGTGAAGGCATAGATTCCTTTCTCTGGAGGCTAAGATACCAATGAGCTTTGCCTTTGGGATGATTTTGTTTGTATTGCAATGAAAAGTATAAGCTGCTGAGAGAAATTTGTGCCTTTTGAAGATGGCAGTTTTAAGTAGACTGGCTGGTGTCTCAGAAGAAAAGCTGACTACCTAGAAATACCTGTATGTAAACCTATCACTCTAGACTTAACAGATTAAGAGGCAGGTTAACTCTCTCTGAACTGTTGCCTTGTACGCAAGCCTTACTCTCAGTTCTCAATGGTCTTACAGGCTCCCCCTGATGGGCATGAGCATTTACTACACCCAATCTAACTTAGGACTTCACAGGCCTTGAACAATGTAACAGAAAGAGCTTCTCTATCTACTGTGCTGAAAGACAGGAGCCTTTCCTAGGAAGGTTGCCCAATTCCCTCTCCTAAGCACTGGAAGACCACTGAACCCTGAAATGAGTAGTTGGCCCCTTGGACAGCTGTTCCTTGGAAGCTACAAAGGGCCTTCCCAGCCTGCTCCTTAGGGAGGATCTTGAGTCCCAAGCCCCCTGGTTACTCCAAAAGCCAGGAATCAGGAGAATGTGATTGCTCAACAGGGGTACTTAGCATAAAAGGAATTCTGGGATGTTCTGTCTTCAACAGCTTGGGACACTGCCAGAAATCCCTCTTCCAGCTTTTTAATTCAACTGCTGGTTGGAGAGCACTTTTTGAAGGTGCCATTAACTTCTTTCATATCAAGGATTATTTGAAGAGTCAGAATCCAGGCATCCACTCACTCCATTTGACCATCCCCCCACCATGACCCCTTGCAACACTGTGGTTTCTGACCATAAATAGGTTATGAAGTTCCACCAGAATGTTGTACTAGTTGCCAGTTACCCACAGTGGCCCAGTTTTCATGCTGCCTTGCAGAAGGGGCTTAAATGAGGGTGGCCCAGCAAACCTGGCTTATCTAGTCCCTAACTAGGAACCCACTGGATAGGACATCCCTGCCCATCACTCCTGAGGACATTATAGCTAAAGAACACCCTACATATATTTATAGCAGGTCAGGGACCCACAGGTTGAAAGTTATTGAGGAGACCCAGCAGGCTGTGATAGATGCAGACATGTGTAGTTGGTGCTTATCATTCCATCTTCAAGTTCATTTGTCTAGTTTCCCAGCCCCTGTAAGGACAGATGATGGTGTCCCCCACTTTACAGATAAGGAAATTGATTAAATTACTTGTGTGGAACTTTTTCTTTTTGGTATGTGGTTTATATTCTGCCTTCCCAGAAAACCCACAAACAAGGATCGATAAACATTTAACAAATCCAAAGCAATTAAACTAGACATACAAACACAAATGAAGAAAGAAAGAAAACAGATTGATAGTTCAAGCAAGATGATAGAGGAGACTCTAGCTTGGCTTGAGCTTGGCTGTGGGCCCCCACTCCTTTTCTCCTTTCTCTCTGCCACTCCATCTTGATGAGGGTCAGCGCAGCACAAGAGAACACAGTGAAAGGTCTTTAGTCATGATTCTTTTCAGTTATCTGAAAGCCATATACGTCTCTGAGGACGGAAATCCACCCCCATTCCCTGTCCTTTTTCTCATGCTTGCTAGATACCTCCATCAACTGGGGTTCTCCAGGCTGTGAGAACCCAAAGCTGA